GTAATGGGCCACAATAATCAACCACATTGTATATTGACAAAATAAAATAAAATCTTAACAGAAATGGTGTTGGATCAAAAATAAATAAATATATTAACTTTAAAAAAAGAATTTTTAGCAGGATATTGAAGTTCTTACTCACCTACAGCAGTAACAACAGTAAAACTTTTACTTTTTTAGTAAATGCCATAGAAATGAACATGAAGATATTATATAAAATCTTTTTGCTAAGGATTATTGAAATAATCTCAGCTGTAACGTCTAATTTCTCCTACTTCTTGTTATTTTCTTCCTTAAGAATCACACTTATTTATTTCTGTATTTGCTTTAAACAGTGTAAGTATCTTAACAACATAGTGTCTGGCATGTAGTAAGTAAAGAAAGGGAGAAATATGTCAACTATAAATGTCCAAAGACGACTAGGTAAGTTTACAGTAGCTGTGAAATTATTGGCGATGAAACAAATCAAGAATAATCATTTAAAACCATTTTCTTTGTACTAGTCTACCAGCAATCTCCACAACTCTCTATCCACCTTCAATCATCTAGCTCTACTGCATTACTTTTATAAACCCTTACTCCACTTGACATAATGATGTTTTCCCTGTTATTTTGGTGTTCACCCTCTGATATTATCAATACAGTATTAAAATGAAACTAGAAGAACTGGTTTGAAGAATTCTGTAACACATTAGAGAAAAGAACCATCACTAGAAGTTCAGCAGACTTGTTAACAGAAAGTAAAAATGCACCAAGTAGCAAGAGGTAGAAATTCAATATGCATTGAAAATTTTGCTTCTGGGTCCAACGGTCTGCAGAAGGAATGCCAAAAACTATAAAGGCACAGATGGAAATTTTCACAGCAGAACTGTGTGAAATAGCAATTTTTAAGGGAGGAAGTTATTGAAGCATTTTCTCAAACTGATATCTGTGTATATTATGCAGAGCATGTAATAACAATATATGGTGATCATCCCTACACTGGGATGAGTAAATCATACACTAGGCCATGGAGCATGGAGGTCAAGCTCATTGGCTCTTAAGTCAAATTGTTTCCAAATCCCATTTACCGTATTTTGGCTATGTGACTTTAGCAAAGTTTTTAATCTCTCTGTTTCAATTTGTTCCACTGTTAAGCGTTGATAATAAAATAAAATAACATTTTAAATTTAAGTTGTATGATATAGGGAAAGTAGTTAACACAAAAGTTATTATTATTATTACTGTTATTACTGTTAGACAATCAATTGCATTTTAATCATGGAATCCAAAGGACTGGTATGTAGTGTTTGTGTTAGTGCTTTTCTGTTTAAAATCTTGAACAGGAAATATTTTTGGTTAGCTTATCTTAAATTACCAGAGTTTTTTGTTTCTTTTTCCAATGTTGTATTTTTCTCCTCTATCAAACTTCCATTAATGTAACAAAAACAACCAAAAGCTAAAATGTGCACTATCTTTTTCATTTGTCATCACTATTTCTCTAAAATTATCTTTCCTTTGGACATTTATAGCTGATAGATTTCTCCCTGGCTCAATAAGCTATCCAGAGTGCCTTAGATTGGTTGCTCGGACAGATTTCCTATAACTGTGACTCAAACTTACCCATCCTTCATAAGTCCAGAGTTTGTCCAGGTACTGACAAAAGGGACACCTCCCTAGATCATTTACTTGTCTACATTACGTTTTGGTGGCTATACCTTCCTTATTAAAAAGATCTGACAAAAAGCAGACACCAATTTTGCTATCTTCTGGCATTTTCACTGAGGATATAATTCTCTGTCTTTTCTTATGTCTATGCCTTAGTTTTAGGCAGCACCTCCTCCCATACTTATTGCAAATCTGGATGCTTGGTGCGATGAGATTTTTTCTTATTACTATATCAATTAAATTCTCATTCTGGTAATATGTAAATAATTATTTTGCCTATGTGATAGCAAAATAAATTCTTTATGCTATTACCCTTTCTTGGATACTTTGTTTCTCTGATTTCCACAACATAATAAAAATAGTCACCATGCTGTACAACAGATCACCAGAATTTATTCCCCCTAGCTAACCGAAACTTTGTACCGTTTGACCAACTTCTCTCCTTTTCTATCCACCCCAGACTCTGGTAACCACCATTTTTCTCTCTATTTCTATGAGTTTGATCTTTTAGATTCCACATATAAGTGAGATCATGTGGTGTCTGTCTCTCTGCACCCAGCTTATTTCACTTAGCTTAATCTTTTCTAGGTTCATCCATATTTTCACAAATGACAGAATTTCTTTTTTTTAAGGCTAAATAACTAAAAAAAAAAGATTTTAAATATTTTTACAACAAAGAAATGATCAATATTTCAGTTGGTTGTACCCCCTAAATACATACAATTATTTGTTAATTAAAAATAAAATGAAATAACATTTTTAAAAAATTTGAACAATATCCATATTTACACATAAGGCAAAAAGTATGCATTTGGTGTATGTCTTTCACCTAAAAATTACCTAACTTCATCATTTATTCATTAATTCATGTCATTCAAAAACTATTTATTGAGGACCTCTTAAATGCTGAGAATTTAAGTTACACACTCTCATTTTTCAGGTAATACATTTTAATACAAATACTTAGAAATTTAGATAAATTTTAGAAATAAAAGGTTTTCATGGAGTTGTATACCAAGTTATGATCTATCTATACTTTGTTCCCAGCTCAAGTTATTCAAAAACTTTTAATCTGAAAATATATTTAATAGACTACTGTAGTAATATTCTTTATTAAAATGTCACATACCTTCATTGTAATATTCACAATCAAGTGCTAAAAGAAAAAGAAAGAATGAATATTAAACTGTATAGGATGCTGACCACTTATCTGAATGTTACAAGATATGGCCATATGTTTATCAATAACCAGGTGAAAGAACATAGAATGGCATCATTGTTTAGAAACTTCCTTTGAGCAAAGGGGATTCTTTAAGGTGATGAGTTGTAATCAGTTAAATTTTATAAGACTATTTTAAAGATAGACAAATATATCTGCCAATTTACAAATGTCAATTGAAAGTGTTCAAATCGTCATCTGTTCTTCTTGTGTTGAATACCCACCTACACAAGTAAATGAAAAGTTAAAAGAGTCAAATCTTAAAGCAAATTCAAGATGATTTTTAAAAATATATGTTTCTTATAATCAGAACAGTGAAGGTGCACAGGCATATAAGGATTGGAGTCTTAAACAATTTCTCTGAGGATAGTAAATAAATAATTTATATTTCAAATATTACAGCGACAGCAGTCTAACACAGACTAGAAAAATTATTTCAATTTTGTCCTTTTGTAAATCCTTTGACATACTATAATTTATGATTATTAAAGAATTATAAAATTGTCATCTTTAATTAATTCTGTTTCCAAGAGTTTTGTGGCATTAGATCTGTGATAAAACAATTAATATAGATCTCCTTACAATGACCCCATCTGATGATGTTCTAAGTAGAGTACTCACAACAAATAGTAGATGATCTCCAGTGAATTGATATCCCTTCCTGACAACACTTGTATGCATATGCTGCCACACTAGTGCACAAGCATTCACAATCCCCACCAAGATTACAGTTGCATGTATCTTCGTGGCAATTTTTAGCAAAAGAAGTAACATCAATCTGAAAATGAAGTGAAAGATAATTTAACTTTAGTAAGTACTATGATTAAAACTCAACCCTCTGAAAGAAAACTAACTGGAATGTTTTCAAAATTTAATATTATCAGCTTAACACTGCCACCTATAGAGTTTTCATTATCTCAACCCTCTATATTGTCCAAAGGAGAAAAGAACTTATTAGGCAAATGTCATATCAAAGAACTAATAAAACAAGTAATAAGATTAACAAATAAATATAATTTCAACATCTTCAATATAACAGATCATATTTTTGGAAGTTTATTGTTGGTATATTCACAGGCATTAAAAGAAGAGTATGTTCTGCTTCCAATTGTACTTTTACATGATTTTCTTAAGCCTTTTTTAAAGCAGCTTTCTAGAGACTACGAATGGCAATAGGAATCTTTTAAACCTGTGTCGTGTTTACTTAATTTACTTTATTTTCATTGTATGTGTTAAGTAGCTGACAAAATTTGTAAGTAGTTACAAAAGAAGCAAGCTTTGGTGCCACTAATTTGTCTTTTATTTTGTAAGCCAGTTCACAGGTTAATTATTTTTTCCCCACAAGTGGCAGTCAGGAGAAGAACCAGCAGGCTCTGTGGTTCAGGACTCCAGACTCGACACCACATTTCTTGTCCAGCAGGAATGGTTACTCTGAAAAGTCTCAAAATCAACCTTTTTTATAAATGGAAATCTAGTATATCTATGTGCCTCTAAAATAGCAGTTTTCAAACTTTTTTTTTTGTCTCAGGATCCTTTCCACTCTTAAAATTTTGAGGTCCCCAAAGAGCTTTGGTTTATGAGATTATATCTATCAGTATGTACCATATTAGCATTAAAACTGAGACATTCTAAAAATAACGACAATAAACTTATTACACATTAACATAATAAAACATATTTTAGTGAAAAATACTTATATTTACCAAAATAAAATATTAGAAGAGAGTAATGTTTTATGTCTTTGCAAATCTCTTTAATGTCTAGCTTAATAGCACACAGCTGGATTCTCATATCGGCTTCTTTATTCAGTCTGTTACAATGTTTTTGTTTTTCTTTGGTTTTAGTTGAACTATATGAAGAAAATCCAGGCCTACACATATGTTTAGTTGAAAATGAAGGAGTATTTTAAATATTTTTCAGGTTATTGTGATTTTCTTTGATGCTATGTATATCAAAAGTCCAAAAATGTTGCTTTCTTAAAGGTTAATTGCAAAGTGAAATCTGACACCATGTAAATGAGCTTTGTACTTTGCTACATTAAAAAAAAAATCCTTTCTTTTCTTTCCCTCTTTGCATGGGTCTCTTACAGTATATTGCATGATTTTGTAACATTGTGTATCAGTCATTTGGAAGACTCACCAATTTATGCAGATCTTCCAAATGTTCATACTTTTGATTATATGCAATAGCTATAAGTCACATTTTTTAATATCACATCTATATCATCAGAAAAGTCATTAGGTATTGCAAAACCTTTAAGCTCACAGTGGTGAATCTAAGTTTTACATAATTCTAATTTTCACTTGAAAGTTCAAATTTTATCAAGGACAATAAATACCATAAGGTGTTTTCCTTGAAGCCATAGACTTGTTTCATTCATTTTCAAGAATATATCTGCCAAATACCCTTGTCTAAACAACCATATTTGTGATGTCATTTGTTCTTTCATGTAAAAATACTATTCCATGAAAAAAGCAGCCAGTTTAGCTCACAACTCCAGCGACCTCACAAGTACCTTTTCTCAACACAACTAGCATATCTTGGTAGGCAGCAGAAGTGTTAGTCAAGTTTTATAAATATATTAAACTATTTTTCAGACTTCTATTGAAACCTAAAATGATTATGCTAGGAAGGAGTTAAGAAAGTTAAATTTCAGAATAAATTATATTTCATCTTGGGATGAGCTTCTAAAACCATTTTAAATGTGCCACTAGTAATACTTTTAAACTATACTTGGGATTGAGGAGAAGTATGCCCATTCAGCAATGTTCTCTGAAGACAGATAAGCATTTATGCCCTTAATCATAAAATTATGCATATAAATAATAAACAGATTATGTACAAATATACACTGTTAAATGAGTTGGAGTGAAGGAGAAAGTAAATCAAATAAATGCATCACTTCTACAGAAAAACAAACTAACCAATATGTTCTCCTAATAATGGTTAGATAGTACACCCGAAAAGCCAATAGATAGCTAAATTCTTTGTCTCATTCATCTCAATATTATAGACACAGCAGTACCTCTTTAATTTGAGTTTAGTATCCACTTACCACATTGCGACAGGGAGCGAAAACATCACTGTACAAAATGGAACATTCTTTCTTGGCATAAGGAAATTTGTTCTGATGTGCCTCACAGGGTTTAATTGTTTCATCTGGATTTTCACACTGTTGAAAAAAATTAAAGCAGAAGAGAAAGTTTTTAAGGGGGTGATTTCTCAACCTAAAACCAGAGCAACCTACCAGACTCCATCCATTATAATCGCATCTAATATATTCTCATCCTTTTAGACAGGCTTTTACCTAAAGCACCTGCTGTCATCCAACTCAGTGTTAATAGCATATATGATTTTTAAAAGTAACTAAGTAGAATAATAAAATCATGGTAATATAAGAAATACAGTGCACATAAATAATTTTTAAATTGTAAAATCATGGCAATATTAGAAATATAGGAGACATAAATAATTTTTAAATTTTTGTAAGTGCAGCATTTACATGACTTAAGAAAATTACATGAGCATGAACCTCTCTCCTTTCATTTTCACCTCTCATTTCTGTCACAAACCATCTTCTGAGGAGCTGCATGCACTCAAGTCTCTACAGACTTGGCTCCCAAACACTCAGTAATTCTGCAGTCCACCTTCCTGAAACTGCCCTGAGAAACGTCATCAGTGACTTCTTCATCACTAAATATAAAGACACAGTCTTCATCTCACTTAACCTTTCACTACTTTTGATTCTGTTTCTACCTTTCTTAAATGTCTCTCCTCATTTGGTTTTAGTGGCACAATTTCCTACTTCTACGTTGCCTGCTGTTCCCCAATCCTCTCCCTCTCCTCTCTGCAAAGTCTTAATCCTCAAACCTCTATTTTTCTCATTCTATACACCTGTCCTGACTTCAACAACCTGAATATACCAGTAATTCCTAAATCCCTATTTCTATCCCAGATCTCTTTCCTGAATTTCAAAACTGGGTATTTCCACCTAAATATATCAGTCACTTCTCTCTCAATACATCCTAAATTATACTTGTCACCACATTATTGTTCTGTCCACACTATCCCCACCACCTCCTCTTTGCCCTGCCTCAGAGAGGAACACCAGCATCTACTCAGACAGGAAGGTAAGCAACTTTCTTGAATCCTCCCAATTCATCCTTCCTAATGCAACCTTTCAATAGGTGCTGATGATAACCTTTAATGTCTCTCAAATTTATAGTTTTCTAAATCTCTACTTATTTAAGCCTTCTAGCTGGATTATAAGAGCCTCCTGGCCCTCATATTTTGCAGATCTATACTTTGCATTCCAACCCTTCCCTATTTCAAACCTTATACTGCAATCCCATTGTACTTCTTGAAATTCACTTTCTGCACCATACTCTCTACAGCCTTCCTGTCACCTTCTAGATGACTGGTCCCTCTTTTCCTTGTTATATTTTTTCCCATGAAATTCACTTTCCTAGCTCCTGTAAATCTTAAAGGATTGATCTCCAGTGCACCTTCTTCGAGAAGCTTCCTTGGACCATCACAACCCCCACTTGTGTGCCTGTCGATCAAAGCACCTATCTCACTATATTTTTATTGTTAATTTTTCTACCTCACCTACTAACGTAGACTCTAAATTCCTTAAAGGCTGAGACTGTGTTTTATTCATATTATGTGTCTGTGTATAATAAAAAACATTGAGTGCTAAAAAAAATTTAGTGAATTAAAAAAAAAGTAATTTGACTTATAGCTTTGCCCATTAGGTATGAATAGAAAAATTCACTGTAGGGGGCTTAAAATTACTTGATTACTCCAAATATTTAAGTATTATTAGAAATTAGTTATTCCTTAATTCATTTGCAGATGGGAGGAATGTAAAATAGTTTCTTCAAAACTTCTAAAAGCAACAAGTTATAAGATAACAATAATTAAAAGGATTTTGTCTCTCTATATAAAATTTTAAATATTAAAAATACAATCTTTGTACACTTAAGCTTATACCACACTGAAATAAACTGCTCAAATTTTACTGAATGGCATAAAGGTTTTACCCTATCCCCTCTTTATTTTTTTAAAAAGATTTAGACTTATTTGGTAAATTGGGAAAAATAGTAAAGTAGTAACTAACCCAATTGTAACCAGTCAGCAAAGTGTGATTTTTATCACTTAAAAGGGACACTAGGCTAAAAAAGAAAAAAAAAAAAGTAGACCCAATCTCCAATTTGACTCTATATTTTGTGAGTTAGTTCTGCATTTTTCCAAGTGTATTCCATAAAATACTACTTTCTTGAGAATTAATAAATAAACAAATTGATTCTGTGTCAGTGAGTTTTAGAAATCCTTCAAACATATCCCGCCTTTACAGGATTATACTGTAACTCTGTAAGGACTCAAGAAATCCTTCAAAAAAGAAATCTAATTTACTTTATTTAACTGCTCCCAAAGTAGTTGAAAACAATCACCCCTCTACACACACACATGCATGCATACACACACATGTGCACACACCCCTTTATTTTCATGTAACACTAGTAACATGACATGAAGTAGCCATGTTCTGGAGAACAAATGTTAAGTTCTGCCTTCATTTATTCACCACTTTGAGATGGCAAGTTACATCATCCTTAGATACATTGATAAGGCATTTTGCTATTGTGAGAACAGGAGTGGAAAGATGTGAGTTTGAATGTCACCTCTGCTACTTTCTGGCTATACAACATAGACAAGTCATTTAAACTCCCTAAGCCTCAATTTTTTCATCTATAACATGCAGACAACATCCTTTGCATCATAAGGTTAAGAATAAGAATTACATGAGAACATAATTGTGAAAGTAGTTTGTCAAGTATGGATTACTATAAACGTATTGTCTAAAATAATATTACCCTTCATAAATTTTCCTCTAAGAATAAAATGTTCTAGTGAAAAAATATTCAAAAAATGTTTGTTTAGTTCTAAAATACATATATTTAACTTACCAGTCCTAATGCCCAACTATCTCCAAATACCTGAGCATTTCTCACTTCCAAGTTATTAGATGTGGTCATATCATTTGAAGTACATTTGTCAAAGTTTCCACACAATCCTGATAGTTTGTTCTAAAGTAAAAGAAAATTAACATGAAATATTCTATATTCACTGTAACATTTAAGGACTCATATTTGCTAAACCTTTTGAAAGATTTAAAATAAATATTCAACAATTTCCACAAGCACTTAAAAAATAAACATTTGAAGAAAGCAGATTTTCGTAACTAATTATATTTAGCAATTATTTAAAATTCTTAAAAATATTTTAGCAGCCACCAAATCTTATCTATCCACACTTACTGATGTCTTAGCATTGGTACAACTACATAAATAACTTGGAAAAGTATAACTCAAACACAACAGTATATGTGAGTGTGCGTGCACACACATGCATATGTATCTATGTATGTGTATATACATAAAACTTATGTACAAATATAAATTTTTAATGAGGAAAGGCCCACTGGCTGATATGTTTAAGATTTCACTATAAATGTTGAAACAAGAATGATGTTAGGTTGTTATGGGTTGTAAAATGGTAACCTCAATGGCCTTATAGACTATTGACATCAACAATACCCACTGATTTTTCTCAAAACAATGCGAAAAATTTTACTACTAGAGAAAGAAGGAGGACTTGCAGCAATGATGACCTTCCAAAAAAGACGGAACTCCTCCTTAAAACCTTGAATTTAAACATGATGAACTGTCTCTTCAATACCGAAGAACGAAGTGCATCATTAATGTGAGGTAGGCTGCACATGTCTCCAGCAAAGTGGACAATAACCCGAGGATTACAACTGCCATGGCCACTTATTACCATGTGGCCTCTACTCTCAGAAACCACATCTATCCAAAGACCGTGGCCACTTCTACCAGTAATTATGCAAAAGCTGAAGCAGCGGAAAGGAGGATGTAGAAAAATAAATGATTAACTTGTTTCCAAAAAGTAGGGAAGGGAGGATATATGATGAAGAATGGCAGAGCACGTTAGTTGAAGGACAGCAGTGCCTAAAGGTCACCTCAGACTCATCAAAGAAATTCAAGATGCCAGCAAATCTAGGAATAGACCTTTGGGCTTTATCTCCTCTAAGACTGAAAGATTATGACTTCAATATACAATCACATCTTAAATTTACAGCATATTAGAATATTTTTAAGTGTATCTTTGTATATTTTTATGAGAATATGTTGTTATCCCAATTTTCCTCTATTTTGACACAGATTATATTTATGAGTCTCCATCTCAATTTCAGGATAACTAGATTTTTTTGAATATATCAATGTTTCAAAAACAGCTTTAAAATGTAAATTTAAAATATTTAATCAAACTTTAAATACTTTAAATAATAAACATATTTAACAATATTTAATAAAGTATTTAACAGATAATAATATATAAAACAATTTAAAATATAAATCGCCAAAAACTGTAAACAAACTCAGACTGGATTTTCAACCATGAACAGGTAAACTGGGGTACATACACGCAGCAGAATACTACTTGGCAGTATAAAGAAACTATTTATTGACACAACAGTATAGATGAAACTTAAATGTATTTTGCCAAGTCAAAGAAGCCATACCCAAAAGACTACATATTGTACAATTCCATTTATGTGTGATCTAGGAAAGGCAATACTACAGCAATGGAAAACATATCAGTGGTTGCCAGGGGATGGGGGTAGAGGGTAGGGGTTTACAATTAAGAGGCAACATGAGGAAAATTTGATGGTTGATAGATATGTTCTACACAGAACAGTGATGGTGAATGCAAGACTCCATGCATTTGTCAAAATCCATAGAACTGGACACCGTAAGAGTAAATATTTTTCAATTTTTCTTACAATTTTACTATATGTAAACTTATAAAAACGTCCAGAATATGGATGAAAATATAGAAAGCAGATTGTAACAAATGAATCTAACTGTATTACAAACAGGTCACATAACCAAGCCAAAGGGAGTGAGAAGAAAGGAATTCAGTAAGTAACTTTGGAAAACTAGATGCTGTAAGGTTAAAGTGAAAAAGAACCACACACAAACAGTGTATTCTAGATGGTAAAGTTCTTCACAGAGATATGAGATAACCTAGTTCTTAAAGGAAAACATCATTTCATTTCCATCAAACATCAAAAAGCAAATGTAATTTCCTTTGTTGCATCTTATTTTAAGCTTAGGCTGACCTACCTTCCACTGTGGTCCAACTTTGATATGAATAGTTGTCTTCTTATCCCAAAGAATAGTGATATCTTTCTCTGGAAAGTACACTACTATGTAGTACCCAGCCTTCCAAAGCTGGTATGTAGGTTTATTTTCTAGAAAAAAACCTAATTGTTTCTTTAAAAAAAAAAATTAAGAAAAAAATAAATTCCATGTTCTCTAACCAAAACATTATCAAATTAATTAAGCTAATATCCATTAGTAACTATCTGTGTACTAGTATTATTGCTTGGCCATGTCTTTTTCTGAATTCTGTAAGAAAAGACAAAGCAAATGCATAAAATACAAAATACATAAAATTGACAGCCAGACACAAACACAAACTAGCAGACAGTCTCAACATGAATAAATGTGCAAAAGGAAAAGTTATTTCAGGTATGTAAGGGGAAGAGCATAAACAAGAGAATGGACACAGGGGACATTAAGGGATATCCCTGCTGAGTCAGAAATTCTACATTATAAGTAAATACGACTGAGGACTAAAAAGGTATGACTTTGCCTGCAAAAGAGAGAAATTTGGCTCTGCTCATGTTTCTGAGTACTTAATGATAGCAGAAAGGAAGTCTACTGACTTCATCAAAAATTTATTGAAAACCAGAATTAACTGAGTTTGGTAGAAGATACTTCCTTCACGATACAGTGAAAATTTCTATAAAAGACAGAGTTTGATTATTGAAAAACAAAAGCACTGTGTGAGTGTGTGTGTGTGTACTGTCATGTGCCACATAACAACATTTTGGTCAATGATGGATTGCATATACGACAATGGCTCCATAAGATTATAATGGCTATACCATGTAGCCTATGTCATGTAAGTACACTCTATGATGTCTACACAACAATGAAATCATCAAACAATGCATTTTTCAGAACATATCCCTGTCGTTAAGTGACACATGACTGTACATATATGTATGTATACATGCGTGTATATATAAGTGTGTGAGAGAGAGAGAGGATGAAGGGGATGAATCACCATCAATTAGTCATCAAAGAGACTTAGGAAGGCTTCTTGCAAGGGGTGGGATATGAACTGATCTATGAGAGGCCATTCATAGGAAGGTACAGAGAGCTGAGAATGAGAATGGAGAAGAAATCCTTCCAAACAAAAGAGAAAGATTAAGTAAAGGCTGAGGTGCTAGAAAGGTGAAGGTTTTGTTCAGGGCTAAGGAGCGCACCAAAGGGCTAGCGCATGCATTACATGATGGAGCATAGTCCAAGACCTTTTTCAACCAAGTTACCCATGCAGAGTAATTGTCACATGTGCAAAATATAGTCAGTAAAGGCTTTTGAATGGGGACGTGACAGACCTTGTTTGTATATAAATGAAAATAATTTATATACTAGAAAGGATAAGGGAGACATTAGAGATGGAACACATTGGGAAATTTTAGAGTACCATAATTATAGATTGAGAATATGAAATATTCTTTATGAGCAGGGGCTATATCCTAACATGATGCATTGAATCTGACCTTAAAATTAACTCCTATAATAACTTTAAAAATATGTTGCTACATCAAAGTAAGTAAAACAAATTTAGCCATAAGAGGAATAAAAATTATGAAGGAGACATAAACTCCTTTGATTATTTTTCTCCCCCAAGTAATTACAGAAGCATAGTTTGAAAATACTGTACTACAGAGAACTTTTTAATAAATATCTCAAAGGGCAAATAAGATAAAATTAGTCATATCCATAAGGAGTTTTCAGTCTCCTAAGCCAAGGTCATATTTACAATAGGTGCACAGTACATCATATAGAATAACCTATATTGTGTATAACCATATACACAAGTATTATTAGCTGGGTCTACCTAACTCATGTCCTGGCACTTCCCAATACCCACCCTCATTGCCCAAGCTCCAGCTATGCTGGCCCTCTTTCTGTTCTTCAGATATACCCAAGTTTGTACTCATCTCAAGTCCTATGCTTGATATCCCTCCTGCTAGGAACTCTTCTCTCCCAGATCTTGGCACGATTGCCTCGTTCCCATCGACTGTGACCCATATGCTCCCTCCTCAGTGAGGCCTCCCCTGATTGCCCCAGCAGAACTCTCATTCCCAAGATGGGCTGGATTAGTGGGCATTTGGACAGTGCAATGGCAGAGTCCCCTGCTCAGAAGGGGGCCCTACACTTGGGGCTTAATGCTGTGTAGTTGCCTTCTTGAAATTCTAATAATTTAACCTTTGAACTTGTGTTTTGTCTGTGAAGTCCAACAGGACAATGAAGCATGTGCCAGGGCCTTGGAGCCTTGACTCACATGCCTTCCATCTCGCAATGTCTCCCACCTCTCCAGAATTGGTTCTCAGCGGCCTGCTTCCCTGCTGCCCTCCAGAGACCCTACTACAGTCCACCTACAGAGCAGAGGCAGGTGAGTTGGGGTTGGGCATGCACACCAAAGTGCTAAGTTGGATTTGTGGGGCAAGGCCCTTGGCACTGGGAGGGTCTGCACTCACCCTAGGAGTACCCCTATGCCAAAGCAAACATGGCATTAAATGATAAAATGCCATGACACACCAAGATAGACCATGAAGCAAACAAATAAAATATTTCTTTCCTGTTTTGAACAAGGAACTCCACATTTTCATTTTACACTAGGCCCCATAAATTATGTAGCTTGCCCTGCTCCCAAGTCTCTCTGCCATAGAACCGATTTTTATTGTTTTTATTGCACTTTTCATTATCTTTCTATTATCTGATTTGCCTTTGACTTTATTGTTTCTCTTCCCCCCTCAGTTTGGTTTTGCATCAATTATTCTGATGTAATAGCACATCTTTTTTGTTCATCTTTAGATGTAAAATTCCTCATTTTCATTAGACAGGGCAGTTTACTGTAAGAACAATCCTTTTTGGTTGAAAGTAAGAGTTGCTGAGCTTCTGACTTTTTAGGTTGTATGTAATGCTTAATTATGTAATGCTAAATTAAAACGTTTAAAGTACAGCTTGAACATATTAATAAAATATTTATATCTTACATATTTGATAATTAGAATTGTAGATTTATATAAAAAATAACAGAGGTGTTCCCCCTCCCCTCCCCCAGGTGGGCAGATGATCCGCTATAAAATAAATGGTACTTATTTTCACTTTTGATGTTTGAGAAAAAAATATTATCAGGGATTTGTTAGGATCAAACTATTTTTATGACTTTTCTTAATCTTACTTCATACTTCACAATCTGTATAAAAGAGATTTATCAACACTTGCATCCAAGTGAAAGTTGGAAGTTGCAAGTTACACAGAGCTGTGATTACCATTTCAAAAGTGTGTCAAACTGTCTTTATAAGAGCACTTACTATTTTCTTGTGTTCTTTTTTTTCAGCATTCTTGTTCTTTGAGAGAACCTTTACCAATTAATGAATATCCAGCTGATGGCTATGAAAAACTGCTGTGACTTCAAAAAGACGTCGACATGATTGTAGAAACTCTGTTTTGCTCCAACTTTGCCTAGTTGGTCTCAATATTTCTGACTGAGACATAAGCTATGTTCTGGGTACTGCTTCACAAACTTTAGTGTGCAGAAGAATTTCAGGTATCATTGAAAATATCGCTTTCACATTCAACCTCAGCCATTCCAATTACCTGGGCAGGGCCCCAAACCAGCACTTATAACAAATATTCCAAGTGATTTAAATGAAGATTTGCAGACCTAACTTAGAGAAATACTGTTCTAAAACCTCAGAAAAGAGGTTACTTTTTAAAGCCTATTTGTCAAATCGTGCACTTCCCACCTACAAAATTCCTCACCTATAAAATGAGGTTCAAATATCTTGTGCCATTCAAGAGCCTCCATAATCTGGACCCAGCTCCATCATTCACTGCTCATGTGCCTGGGCCCCTTGCATTATAGTCAGTTGGGACATCCCTCCCTGAATCCCTTTGCCACACCCACCATCCACTATCCCATTTGTTGTGCTTCAACCAAACTAAGCCACTTGCAGTTATCCAAACACGCCATCTATGAGTATGTCTTCTGAGCCCTCAAAAATGAGGGTGAAAAAGAGGAGGAAAGTTATTTCTTGAAATCCATTACTTCATAATTCTAAAATCATCCCAAATTTACAGACAGAAAAGCTGCAGCATGGAGAGGTTAAGCATTTGCCCAGAGTGACACAGCTAGCAGGTGACAGAGTAGGGGTTTTACGTCAGTATTAACTGACTCTAAAGTCTATGCTTTTAACAACCACCCTACACATCCAAGGTTGCTTTAGGTGTTCTTCCCAGGAGTTCCCATATTATGCTATATAAACTCCTGCCACAGCACATTGTGCTACACATTCTTATTGACTTGAATGTATCCCTCACCTGAGCATAAGTTCCTTAAAGGCAAGCACAGTGTCTTTTCACTAGTATAGCCCCAATAACTAGAGCCGGTTATACACAGTAGACATTATGAATGAATGAATGAATGAATAAATGCATGCATGTATACATGAATGAATGAAATGTATTCATTCTTTTAAATTGAACAGGTTCCAAAGATGCAGAAATAAACAAGGGAGACAGTGGTCCCAGTTCTCGCAGAAATTGCAGACAATTGGGGAAGACAACCTCACAAACAATTTCCCTAAAGTACGACACATGTTCTAACACAGTGTTTGAGGGCATGAGGAGGAGCTCCTAAAGGAAATAAGACATCTCACATAAGAATAAATTACATAGAAAGATAGATCCAGGTAGAAGCAATGACACTCATGAAGGACCAGAGGTGAGAGAAAGAACATAGGGCTTTCGAAGAACTAATAACAGCTCCAACTTCTGGAACATGGGCTTGAAGCAGAAAGTGATGGGAGGTGAGGCAGAGAGGTAAGCAACAGCCAAACTGGCTTGGCTTTGCAGGAGTAATGGGAAGTCATGTGAAAGTCTGAAAGCACCAGTGACAGGAGATCAGATTTCCATTTTAGAAAAACCACCCTGGCTGCGTGGTGCGAGGATGAATTAGAGGAGAGGAACAAAGACTGGAAGTCAAGAGTCCACTTGGGAGGCTATTGAAGTAATATAAGCTGTAGGTGACAGTTGCAAGGGCCAGAATGGTGACCAGGGGGTGAAGAAAAGAAGAAAGGATTGGAATATGGAGAAGTGGAGTGCAAACAAGAGACAAATCAAGTATGATTTACTGAAGTCACATAAAATGACAAAGAAAAAAAAATCTCGATCTTGTAACCACTTACAGTGAGAAGTACCCCAAATTGTTTCTATTTTAAGTATCCTCAGGACAGGTTAAAATGATTCTGAAAGAAATAATTCACTAACCTGTTTGTAAGGAGTATCATTAAGGTAAATTTCAGTGTCGCCAACTGAAATCAAAACACTTTTAGAACAAACAATATCGTTGTCAAAGCATTTCTTGTTCTGGGCAATGACAGATATATCTGAATCATCTGTACTCTGAAATGCCAAAAATATTTTATTAATGCAAATGTATACAATATACATAATTTTTAGTTACTTTTATTAACAAATCATAAAGACAAATATTTACAATGGATTGCATTGGAATTGAAAAAACAACTTGCCTCTATAATAAAAATAAAAATTATTTTTATCTAATATTGTGAAGAATTTTATAGAAATGTAGTAAGATAGCTCAATCTTTAAACACTTACCTCTCATATTATCTCTGTTAAAGTTTTGTTCTAGCAAAGCTTTTTTTTCCCCATTTTACTACTATAGCTCAAATTTATCAACCATTATCATTTTATCGAGAAATACCCAACAAGACAATATATAACTTAGGGGAATCTTAAAATAAATACTGTCACTTTGGACAGTGTGTCCTTTGTTTTATTTTGAAGAGTTTTCTGGCTGAACATTATTTGCCTACAAATTATAATTCAAATAGTTATGTTATCTTATTTAATTCTTATAATAATTTTTTAAATTCAGCGTTATCTCCATTTTACAGACCAGGAAACTTTAGTTAAGAGGGCTTAACTGATTGTCCAAAGTCACTTAGCTAAATAAGTACAGAGACAGAGTTCAAAACCCTAATCGGTTTGGTTTGATTTGGTTTGATTTTTATGCCACTTGTAAAGAAACTAGAAAGGGTCTAGCAATGGTTGAGGAGAAAAGTCAACTTTAGCTTATGGGGAATTCTCAGTTTCAAAGAACATTATTTAGGCTTACACACTCTAAATCCAACACCTTCACCTCCATTTAAACCCCTTCCCTTCAGCCACTCCCACTTCACCCAGTAAGAACATACTGTCTAGAATCAGGGTCTCCAACTTCATATCCCAGTTTCTTCAATGTGTTTCTTTGATTCTACAGACCCCAGAAATTCATTATAGAATGTGGTTTAGTGAGTATCTGTATTTTTTAAATTTTAATTTGAGAAATTATAATTGTATGTATTTATGGGGTACAATGTGATGTTATATGTACACAATGTACAATGATTAAATCAAGCTAATTAACATATCCATCATCTCATATACTTATTTTTCTAGAAAGAAAGTCCACGGTTTCTGTCAAATTTTCAAAGTGGTTCTTACCCCTCCAATAATTAAAAGACACTGCTCTAAGAGCTTTTTCACTAATATGTGCAAGGCGGGAAATTCATCAAAAGGAAAGAAAGAAATGTGACGTTTCTCTTTGAACTCAATGTCCAGTTTTCAAAGACCCACACACATTTTCTGAATCTTATTCATTTTTATCCATGTGGGTCAGTGTCTATTTTCATGAGAAAAAGTCATTAAATGCTAGAAATCATATAGATCTTGGTATAAATTCTCCACGATTAGTTTTTCCACATCACTAGCAATATGAACACTAGACCAATACATCTTTTAGTTTAGCCAAAGTGCTTCTGTCTGATTAGTAATTACTATAGCATAGCGCCCAGAGGATAGATTTTTAATGCATGGTGTTGACAGAATAATTAATGTGTCTCTCTGTGACCACTTTTCCTTCATAGGTACTGAGGGCATTTGCTGCTGCTTAAATAATCCTTTTGAAAAGCATTGCCTAAATTTTGAAAAGGAGAATAATAAGGGTCATTAAGATGATTATAGCATTGTACTGCTTGAAAAATAATGTCCCACTTTTCTTCCTTTATAAATGATTTTCAAAGAAAAAAAATTTACAATTCAGGGTTTTATTTTGTTCTTCCTCTTGGGAAGAGTTACTTAGACTAAGGGATGTGAAAATCTGGCTGAAAGGCTTTCTAATACCCTTATGCTTCTATTACTAATAATTAAAGTGCCTTAATGTTAGTTTTATTCTTTATATTAAATCAGAAATGTCAAGAAATATTCTGTATTGTATGATCTGTCATATCATACGATGTTGACAATAAGTTTAAATAGTAGCAATGCCTAAGAGTCACGTTTCTACAATTTCCATTTCTAATGTATTTCAAGTTAATATTAGGTTTGGAAATAATGCTACAGGGTTACTAAGCAACAAAGTAAGTAATGATTACAAAGCTAGAGGAAAAAGGTCAACATTAACATGCCACATGAGTTCCTCAAAACCCTTTATTCTCAGGTGCTAAAAGCTTTGATAAAGAACATTCCCCAAATGATGCTGAAACACATACTGTCAGCACCTTTCAACGTAACATGAATATATTATTGTACTCCACATGTCAATCCCAGCACTTGTCACAGCTCCAGCCTCTGTTAAGGGTAACTATTCTACATAAAGTCCCTGTTGATATGGGAGCCTCAGGCAGCCATGGGTTATGTTCCACAGCCGACTGGACCCAAAGCAGTACATTAATTGATGGGCCAAGGGACTTCAATGCTGGGGGAAAATAAACAAAAAGAAACCTCTGACCAATTAGATCCTCTCTTTGTCTTTGTTTGAACCAGAAAATTAGAAAATACCAGTTTAAAAAAAAAAAGTTTTGCAGTAAGATCTGAGGGTGAAGCAGAAAATGGAGCAGTCATGTAGAAATTGTCCCAGTTGCAATGAATGACATCAGAGCATAAATGAACCTCTGCTGCCTGGGAGGCAAAACCACCCTTCAACTAACTCCTCTGTGAGGTTCTTCTTGGAGGATTTCCTTGAGATATTATTTTCCTTAGGGCTTTACATACAAACAACCACAGTAACCCCCCCCCCAATGTTTTTTACCTTAAATAGTAAGCACTTAACCAGAATGTCACTGAGAAGGAAAACCACCCTGAGCTGCTTTACTACCAAGGAAATCTACAAGAAAATACATAAATATAAAGAAGAAGTGAGTTGTTGGGAAAAATAGAATAGTTTAATCAGGGCCCCTTGCTTCGGGTCTTGTTAGGGGTGGTGCAGAGCATTCTTTGTAAATGAGTTGTGTGTGGGTGGAATTAGTGCACATGTGTGATGCCACAGCTGGCTGGCATCTACTGCCTCAGGCAGCCACCACTCCATACAGCCATGCTCTCAAACCTATGGCTCCAAGGACCTTTTTGGCCAGTTACCTAGCTCATAGACCTGCGTGTGAGAGGTCTGGTGACCCAGCCTGGCATGTGAGGGGTCTGGGGACCCAGTCTGGTGTGTGAAGGGTTTGTGACCCAGTCTGTATACAGGCTTGAGGGGTCTGTGAGCATCATACCCAACCCTAGCTCGACAATTGGCCCAGTCAGTGCAGGATTACGGGCAGATAAAATAGCCCAACATGAGTTATAATGGATGAGGTAAAATACTCTATCGTTGGGGACCCACCACCAGTGTTTCCACCTTCTAAGAAACTTTCTTCTATTTCTTTAGTCAAAATAAGTTACAGTCCCACAGCGGAGCTTTCATTCTGTCTGGCCTTATAACTTCTGTTTATTACTGCCTTCCCTAAATGTAAAACAATTGAGGATAAAGCCAATGTCTTAATAATTGTACCCTTAATACTTCCTAGCATAGAGGCATATAGTGTAGACTTAAACTTAATGAAGGAATAAATATAAATAGAAAAGTATAAAAATAATTATTGGAAAATTTATGCTATTATGCTATTGAAATATTTTAGAAGGTTTTAATAATAAGGTCTAGCTGAGTCTGTTTTGTGCCACTCTAACAGAATACCTGACACTGGTGATTTATAATAAACAGAAATTTATTGGATCACAGTTCTGGAGGCTGGCAAGTCTTAAGGTCAAGGTGCCAGCAGTTTTGGTGTCTGGTAAGGCTATTATCTTCTTCCAAAGTGGCACCTTGCACACTGCATCCTCCAGAGAGGGAAGGCTGGATTCTTACTTGGCAGAAGTCAGAGAGTCCAAGAGCCCAAGAGAGAGTGAACCAACCCCTGTGAGCCCTTTTTATAATTGCATTAATTTATTCATGAGGGCAGAGTCCTCATGACCTAAACACCACCCATCAGGCCCTACCTCCCAACACTGTCACATGGGATATTAAGTTTTCAACAAATGAATTCTGGAGGACACATTCAAAACATAACATTTTGTCCCTGGCCCCCAAAAGTCATGTCTTTCTCACATGCAAAATATATTCATTCAATCTCAGCAGTTCCCAAACTTTCAATTTATTCCAGCATCAACTTTAAAGTCTAAGTCCAAAGTCTCGTCTAAACATCATATGAGTGGGAGATCCAATCAAGAGGGCAGAATAGATGGTCTACAGCATCACTCTCTCCCACAAATCAGCCAAATTTACAACTATAAAAATGTAACATCAGCCAAGCTGGAGCTCAGGGGAAGAGGAGGAGAGACCTACGGAGTTCATGAAGGCTGGAGAAACCATGATGAGAGAAAGAAAAAGCTACTCTAAGCATTTTGGGCTGTGGCCACCTTAAGGCTGGAACTGCTGAGCACATGGAACAGGAGCCGGCAGAAGCCACAGTTGGGCCCTTCGGATGGAGTTACTTTGAGGCAGCAGGGGAGAAGAGGGTCTTGGTGGCCCTCAGGACAGAAAGACCACTAGTAGGATTCATGTGGACCCATGCAGTAGTGAGGAGCCAGAACTGAAAAAAGGGAGCCATTCAGAGGCCAGTAAGTCATTGCAATGGACCAGCACATGACCCATCCCATGGGAAGTGTTTGCAGCACAGGCGGTGGGGGAGACGTGCCCACCAGGGGAACACTGGGACACAGCAAGGACAGCCAGTTCACCTCCCCATCAGCACAGGACCACTCAGAGGAGAATGGTCGGGAATGAAGAATTGCATGGGGTGCAGTTTGATGAAAAAACTCAGGCCCAGATCAGAGTTTCTACACAACCCGGGTGCACCAGGTCTCTAGACAGCCAGAAGTACCTATAAGGTCAACCATTAAACCCTGAGCTGCACAAAAAGGCTTCCCTAGGGAAACAGCAGCAAAGTAGCAATTTAAACAACCACACAGCTCAAGTACTGGTTCCCACAGGAAGTTCCCCCGTGTTAGAAGCAAAGGACAAAAAATAAGTTCCGGCCCAGGCACACCACCATCACCTTGGGGCCTGCCTGGGAACCAGAGGCT